TTTTCCTTGGTTTTGATCTAAGTTTACTTTGTTATGTGATTGAATCTGTGAAAGATTAATTGATGTAACAAAACTTGGATATGTAAAGGCTTGAATCATGAATTAACTCGAGAAAAACGGAACGAAAAACGGATTCGAACAGAGCTCGAAATCAGATCAAGTTGAAAAACTTCGTCTGATTTTCTGCCCAGAGTCACGCGGTCCGCCGGACCAGAATTGGTCAGCGGCGGACCGCACGTTCGAAAGTCAGCAGCTCGTCGGGCGGACCAGAGGAAGCGGACCAAGAGAGAAACGAAGTCCTGGTCCGGCGGACCAAGAGTTGGTCCGGCGGACCAGACTTCGATTTTGGTCTTGGTAGGCCGGCGGACCAAAGGAGAGACGGACCAAGAGGACACGAAGCCCTGGTCCGGCGGACCAATAGTTGGTCCGGCGGACCAGCCTTCGGTTTTTAGTCCGACGAGATTTTCCTGGTCCGATGTCTGCTCCGTAACGTCTGGTCCGACTGACCAAGTGTTGGTCAGCCCCGGACCAAGACGTAACGGAACGAGCGGACCAAGCGTTGGTCCGAGGAGAAGAAACCGGAGTGACGGACTGAGTAGAGTTGGTCCGGCGGACCACCCATGGTCAGCCCCGGACCAACAACTCAGTCCGCACGTGGTCTGGTCCGACTGAGGAGAAGAAGATGGTGGCGGAGTGGTCCTGGTCCGGAGCTGACCAAGCTTGGTCAGCCCCGGACCAACTCGACTGACCACTTCGCGCCTCTTCTTCCGGTCCGAGCTGAGTTCGTGTACTGAGTAGTTTTGGTCCGGCGGACCAAAAGTTGGTCAGCCCCGGACCAACCAACTGTTTTCGGACTTTCGCGTTTTCTAAATTCGATTCGGTTAAGTAATGGTTACTTGACTGAGTTAATCATGATTGTATATGATTTATGACTTAATTATGTAGAGGGTCTACATGAATTAAGTGCATAAGACTTAATCAAATATAAGAGTTATTTGATTGAGTGGGAGTTTCGGGACTAAGTTTACTAAGCTGAATAGACGGTCTATTCGGGCTAAAGTAACAGAGTCGGATCAGAATATAATTGTTATATCCTGATCAATCAAGAAGGGCTATTACGAGTAGAGTTCTTGACAAGACCTTGGTAATTCGAGTATGGGACATGCCAAAGCTGTGCATACCGGATTATTTAAGTGAGTCAAGAATTGAGAAATCTGGTTCTCATTTCTCGAAAGTAATATGCTATTTCTTGGTAACGATAAAAACCCTTGTTAATAATTTCAAGCTTATACCACCCATGTTTCGAACACTTGTCAAGGCTTCGATCGTCTGGTATGGGTCATGTCAAAGCTGAGCATACCAGACAATCTTTGTGAGACAAGATGGAGAAATGGTGGTTCTCATACGTTCGAAAATGGTTCGGCTTGAGTTGGGTTATCAAGTTGGACTTGGACCTAACGGTATAGATGGGAATA